ATCAACTTGTGATAGCAATAGCAGGCGCGGTTGTTAACGTGAACGCAATACGAATAATTTCTAATACATTACCACAGTTCGGTGAGATGTGAGACAATACACACATTCCATCAATAACATTAACTTGGGTTAGCATATGTCAACGTAACTCTCAAAAAGTGTAAAATTACTGTAGTACTAATATTCATGAGTCATGACAAGTCATTGAAGAGGGCTGTGACCCTCATTAGTGAGCTTAAGCAAGTGACGTTTTTGACGACACTGACGGCATGAGCAACGTCAGAAGACTGGGTCAAGGACTGTGATTGGTGAAAAACGTCAACTTTACCTCCGGTCGACGTCCGTGTTGTCAAAAACGTCACTTGCTTAAACTCACTGTTGGCAGTTGTATGCCATTTTCTGTGTTGCCCATGCACTACTATAGTCTGCAAGGCAGACAAGATGCTCTTCGTGTGGCAGTACTCAATATTGAAGATGTAAAAACTTGCCAATAAGGCGATAATTGCATCAAAACAACTGTTGCTTGTTATGGAACTTTCATCCTTTCTCTCGATAACGAATGATTAAGGGGATTGACAGTTTCTAGTCGTATTCTAGTTCGCTGCCAACGGCCACAATATGGGTTGTGATAAGTTTGAAATGGTATCATTTGCATCTTCGGACCCCTACAAAAAAAACACAATTAGAATGTATGCAATAATCCGCAATTACAGGGGGTTATAGGACACATAAAATACTGATAAGGCCTCACTAAGAGAGATAAACCCAATAATAAAGCTCTTACATACATCAGACACAAAATACCTGAAAAAATATATCACATCCCTATAACCATTCCAAAAGCATTAAGTATAACATACCAATATACAGTAATATTTTGAAATATCAAAATATATGCTGCCTCGCAACAAACTCTCCTAAAAATAAGCTCACTATAAGCACACAAATATTTTTCAAATTTACAATATACTGTATCATAAGTAAAATAAATACAAAATTGGAAACATGAATTTCCATAGCCTGGTACAAGTGATTCAGGGAGACTGCATAAAAACATAATACATGATATACATATAACTATACAATCTTATTTAACCCATTAAGCACCAGGGCTCTCCCCTTTACGAGTAGAATAGGCGTTCGACAGAGTAGAGTAATAAAGTTCAAAATCATTTTGTTTGAATTACTTCACCTATCTATTTGTTTAAAATTATGTATGGTAGAACACACTCATTCTGTGGTATGAACACTTGCAAAATTACTCAAAAAATTTTTTAAATATGTGACATTATGTTGCCTTGACAACACTTGACACAACGTGAGCCTGTGTTCAGTGCTGGCCAATTGCTAATAGTTCATGTTAAATCAATGTTTGGAAAATATAGGCTATAGGGGTTGCTGCATGCATTTATTTCTAGTTAAATATTAATTGGACATACTCATGTCACTAGTGGTATTCATTATATCTTGGTCAGACAAAACAAATTCCATATTTAAGAAGTTTGGCAACCCACAGGTTAAAATAGACATCTTGTGAATTATGTCACAAACGATTAATAAATTTTTGCTGCAGCAAGCAGATTCACGAGAAACATGTAACCTCATGAGTTCACACACCCCAAAACAATACTTTCCTAAAATGACAGCTTTCCTTCATCATTTAATTTTATAACTGGACTTAGCTGATCTGTTCTTATAGTTTTTATATTTTTAGACTTTTCGTTATTCAAGTTTGAAACGAGACCAAGACTGGTGGCGTTTAATTTTGACAATTTAAGAGAATGTAGTTCTGCATTACTGTTTTTCTCTGTATCTCATCCTTAATAAGCCTACCATTTTTAAATGTCAAATGTACAACAGATACTTTGGGCTATTTATTGCCTCTTTCTTTCCTCTTCTATATATTAATAGTTTTTCTTTGGAAAATATCAGTAATCATATTTCTAATCTGTACAGTTCTGTTCCTACACAACATCTTCGCACCCACACATCGTGTTTAGGACTGAAGTTCCAGATCATGGAAATGCTCTGTCAACAGCCCTGCAGGTTCCCAAAGAGTGTATAGCCCATGTATATCATAGTACAAATCATAGAAATAAAATTAAAACAATATAATTATTTCCATTTCAAATGTTTTTTCATTAATGTACAATAACTAGGGAATTTTATGTAAAGTGCAATTCTACATTCTCTTCGATTGACTTGAATATGTTTTTGGCTAGCATTTATTTGATGTAGCTACAACAAATCCACTAAGTTTCAATGGACATAGTCACATAGCATCTCCCTATTTGAAATAAGCCATAAGGCATTATATTTGGTATTTTAATATCTTAATTATTACAGAAATGATTGCACAAGTCACGAGTTTTGACAAATGTTGATCTATATTTTCAATATTAACCCCATTAAGCACCAGCGTTCTCTTCTCGAGACAGAGTAAAAAAAAAAGTAGGCCGCAATGCGACTCAATGGGTTAACTATAAACATGGGCAAATAGGCCAGTTAAGGCCAAATAAAAATAATAGTTGGTTTCAGGTTTCACAGCCATGTTTATATGGGTAGGTAGGTCGGAAAAATATTTTATAATTGAAAAAAAATATTTTATCTCAAGTATGCAATAAATATAAGTTAAAACTCATTGTCATAACTGTCACGTGTGATCAAACGTGCCACGCGGGATCACCCGCGAGCTACATGTGTTTCGCGAGAAACAAACGCATCAAGGCGTTTTCGTCTTTTTTCAGCCGTAGCTGCCATGTCAGAATAATGTACCTTTTTAATATTTTATTCAACTATTTGTGTAAAACTATGATTAACATGACTAGATAATGATTAAATTATAATCAAACTAAATAATTTGTAGACAAATGAGTCTGATGACTATTTATATATTCTGCTATTTACGAAAAGATGATCTCTACTGGGAAATGTCATTAAAATGTTTATGGTCGGTCATATTTTTGAAAGGTCGGTCGGAAACCTGAAACCAACTATTACTTTTATTTGGCCTAACCCATTAAGCACCAGCGCCCTTACCTTGATGAGTAAAATCATCTGGTGTTAGACAGAGTAAAATAATAAATTAGGGCACAATGCGTTAACAACACACATGGGCAGATAGGCCAGTTAACCCATTAAGTACCGGTGCTCTCCCCTTAATTAATGAGTGAAATTGTCTGGCGTTAGAAAGAGTAAAATAATAAATTAGGGCGCAATGCGACTCAATGGGTTAACTAGACACATGGGCAGATAGGCCAGTTAACACATTAAGCGCTAGCGCTCTGCTCTTAATGAGTAAAATTGTCCTGCGATAGGCAGAGTAAAATAATAAATTAGGCCGCATTAGAGCACAATGCGACTCATTGGGTTAACTGTAAACATGGGCTCGTTAACACATTAACCGCCAGTGCTCTCCCCTTGATGAGTAAAATTGCCTAGCGTTAGATAACCAGAGTAAAATAATAAATACTTAGTGCGCATCAGGGCGCAATGCGACTCATTGGGTTATTAACATCAACAATGTTTCAAATGTCAAATCTGCCATGCTCAATATAATCATAGATTTGACTATTATTTGACATGTATAAAGTCAGATGTCCTGTATACAACAACATCATCAATATACTATTAAATCAATCAGCCACAAAATTGTCAATCGTGTATTATTCTCGGCCTAAAAGCTAAACCTATTAATCCTAGTTGGTGTTTAGTTTGGCTTTTGCTGCTACTGAAACGACTTTTATATAATTATGTGATTACAGCTTGGAATTTATACAGTGGGTTCTGCATAAGATTTGTAATATCTGGATTCGATGTTTCACTATTTAGTATCGAGTAAAATCAACAAATAATTATGGATCAAACGAGGATGAGAGTATTTTAATTAAGTTGAAACATAGTTGGAACACTCATCAAAGCTTTAATAATATTTTGTTCATGTGGAACTTGAAATGTCCTTTGTGTATTTATAAGCAATTCATGCATGACTTTCATCCTCATTTGACCGAGGCTATAATCTAAAATACCAGTTTAAAAACTTACATTATCAAATGAACCAGTGCCAGTATGCCTGATTCAGGAGATGATTCTTGATTGGGAAAGGTTAAACTAGACTGGGCTATTGATATGTCGCAGGATTTGAGCTAGTAGTGAACTGGATATTTCAATGTTGTTTGCACTTTTTTCATTGTCGCTGTCACTTTCAACTAGAACCTACATATACAAAAAATAAATAATCTTACATTAAAACGTGTTTCGTATCGTAAACGTGAAGCTATAAGAACATATTTTGAATAATTGATGTCCGGTGTCGTGATTTGGCCATCAGCAAACAACAGTCTTCGACACGAAGGTGAAGAAAGTAAATAACATTTGCCAGAATTAGGCTAGTACAGCACGAGACGTTTCTTGAATGTATTTTCCTAATAAATTGTTTATTTGTCCAGAATATACTGCAACAAACGAGGTTTACGCTTGTGTTTTATCCGTATCCCTCGTCGAAGCAAATCCCAACGGCTAACGTTCGATAATGGCGCCAAAAGTTAGTACGCATGCTCGAGAATGATCGCAAACCCGATTGCTTACGGGCGCGTGCATTTTCGTTCCCAGTTCCCGCGATCATTAATATTACACCTAGGCCTTCAATTCTCGTGATTAATTTTTACAAATACCGTATTTATATTTATGATAAAATTACTAAAAATCTGGAAAACAAATTTCAATACCCTACAAAATGAAACATCAAATCTCACCTTGTATAATCCAAAAAACGTCCTCTTCTTTTTCTTTGCGACTGCGAGCATGTGCATTATTTAAGTTTTATGCGGAAGTTAATTTGATACGATCATACGACGGACGATCGACACAATTAAGAGTCGATTTGACCACGATTTGACAGAAGGGTCGATTTGACACGATATTAATAGTCGATTTGACACAATTAAGAGTCGATTTGACAGAAGAGTCGAATTGACACATTTACGAGTCGATTTGACAGAAGGGTTGATTTGACACATTTAAGAGTCGATTTGACAAAAGGGTCAATTTGACACAATTAAGAGTCGATTTGACAGAAGGGTCGATTTGACACATTTAAGAGTCGATTTGACAGAAGGTCGATTTGACACAATTAAGAGTCGATTTGACTGAAGGGTCGTTTCGACAAAAGGGTCGATTTCATTCCAGGGTCGATTTGACCTATGCGAGAGTCGTTCCGCGATGGAGAGCCGAAACGAAGCTCATAGGGGCCAAAGTGTTGATCAAAAGCGGCCCCTTTATGTGGGGCCAAAACAAACCCGGACGTGAGAGTCGTTTTGGTCTGTGGGGCCATATTGGCAATTGATGGGGCGAAATTGGAAAATGATGGGTCCGTTACGGCAAAGGGTAGGGCCAATTTGGCTTTCCTCCATACCTAAAATGGCTCCGTCGGTGCAGATCCAGCTCTCCAATGCCAAAATGGCTTTCACATAGGGCCAAAACAGCTTTGGCCCCAAAAGGGCTGAAACGGAATTTGGGGTCGATTTGGCCCTTTTTAATTTACAGTGCACCGACCCGAGGTTAACGCCGAGC